CTTATCCAGTTTGTCTTATCGTGCATCATGGTCCTAGTAACCCGTAAGAAGCGAGACCCAAAGAAACTAACGCATGTAAACATTTAGAGTGGTTGGTTAAACCTTGAGTCATATATCATGTTTATAGTTTAGTACTCCAAGTGACGAAGTATTCTTTTGCCCAGATCTCGACTGTATAGCGCTTAAGGCGCGATAAGTAATCCGGCGATGAAAAGGAGAAATGTACCATAGGAAATAGATATGCAGACTTTAGTAATGTGCAATCTCAATCAGCTACAAACAGCACCATGATTAGCCAACTGGTGAATCATGACTACATGGAATTGTGGGGGGGGGTGTGTGAATTGCGCACCGTCCGGGAAAGGAAACAACCTAGCATCGTCAGTTGCTGAAATGCATATGAAAACTGGTTAATACTCCTCTTAGGTGCAAAAGATTCATTTGGTTTATGTGTGAGTTTACATAGCATGTGTTTGGGAAATATCCTCACAAGCGTATCTCAAAGAAATATTAGGTGTATATTGATATGTTGTTTCCGGTAAGGCTGCTGCGAGTGACTACTGCTTTACACGGACACTCTTCATGTTTATTCATTGAACCCTTACAAAAAGTATGTTAAACGTAAATAAAATGTTTGGACATTTTCTGGGCGACTTCATAATTCGTCCACTCATTTTCCAGATTTTCTCAAACTGTTCTTGGTTTTCCTGCGTCATCGGGGGACTGATCAGTTCTGACATTCCTTCGTTATTTGATGGAAGCCGACACTGTTGAGTTCAAAAACTATAAAAACTTGAAAAATTTGTACAAACTGTTTTGTGTAGGATGCGCCGTGTTTCTCATTGGATTTTTCTTCATATTTTTTGGTCGACCCTACACATTTGATCGAACAAACAAAGACCTGTTCCTCCCATTTGGCTTGTTGTTTCTGATACCTGGTATCGCGGTGATCCTCGGCGCCTCTTACCTACTTTCCAAGCAATGGAAATTGTCGAATGATTTTGCTCAGCTAAACAAGATGCAACCTCCTGTCAATGAAGTGCCAGAAGATATGAAGGGTCCCATTGACGTTTCTTCTCCCATCGAATCACTGCCTGGCTATTCACAGCTTGGATTGGACCCCAATGAACCTATTTAAATGTTTATATGTGAAGTCAAACTCTCGGTATTATTCATTCTTTTCTAATTTATTTTTACACTCGAAATGTTCTTGAAGACACAGTTGGTGGGTATGTCTTCGTCCAATGGAGGCTGTTATTAGTGCAACGGCTTCAGTCATCTCGCTAACATATTTTTTCATAGAATGCTGCCAAATCCACCCTACTTTCGTTCATTTCAATTAAATAGGAAGTCAGAAGCCTTCCAAGTTGCACATGTATAGCACTTTCTTGATAACGCGAATAACAGTGAAAAATATATGATTGCCTATCATGCCATTAGTTTCATTAAGGGGTAGAAAAGTAAAAGGTGACTAGGAGCTGGCCAGGAATATTCATGCTCTTCGACTTCCCAATTAATTCAAAGCTATCTTTCAAGATATGGCAACAAAGACCCTGTCCGATGGGTTTCAAGAATTTTACAAACCATCTGGTCACGCGCTTTTGCGTATCAATCACAGAGAAGAGAAGAATACTTCGATTCCGCGAGGCCAATAGCTTTGACCAACCTGTTCCTCTGAGCTTCCGAATGCTGCAAGTAGGTTCATCAATATTGATCGGCTCCTTAAGAATTTTAAATCGTTTCCGTCTACGGGATTCAACCTGAGAGTATTGTCTTTTTCAGCTGTTCGAGAGAACATTTTGATCGCGTAGACCATTCTATTCCTCACGAGAGCTCCAACTCCGTCTAGCTACGAAATTACGGTATTCACCTGAACAAAGAGCACAAGCAGTGGACTTCCTCGCTAGTCACAACTTAAGGTTGTGGTTTCTCCGCGGAAAAACTTCTGCCGACCAAATGAGCAACCAATTATTTGATTTTCTTTAATTTCAAAAACGGAAAAAATCGTTCACACTCTTTCGGTGCCTAGCTGACATGGGCAGTGAAGCATCGGTGTTGAACACTGATGTCATGATGACGATGACATCGGGTCCGAAATAAAAGACGAGAGCTGAGGTACTATCAAGTTGCCCAAGCCCAGACAAGAAAAATTGAGATGCTGAGGTCGGCTTCGATCTACGAACCCTACGGTCACAACTTTCGCGCCCTAACTACTAAGCGACCTCGAGATTATTTCGCTAACCAGACAATGATACACTGAATTCGAAGTATTTGTGTTCCAAATTTTCCTTATAATGAGTACAACATGACTAGCATGCACTATGAACACCATGTTTATTATCCTTGAAAACGGCACTTGAAAGTCAATACTTTACAGATAACAACTAAAGTGGGACCAAAAAAGTTGGATTAGGTCCGAAGTTGTGCATGGTAAAGTATACCTTGTATCTGTTTGCTTCAGAGGAAGGATAGACCTGTGTCATATAGCCTGTATTTTCGATTGATATACTACAAGATAGCTACAGACATAATATACATGTTCTCAAATCCACTAATGGTGATAGAAAGTGACTGGTTAGCAGATTCGGATACGTGGCCGGATGACAAATCAAGATGACGGGTCAGACTCTCCGGTAAAATGTCATTTTTGCTAGACATAATGCACATGAATCTGAATGAAAGTGCTAGTAGACCAGATCACGTTTTTCGTCTTGTGATATGATCATAAATGACGGCCTGTAGGTACTTTTCGGTCGTAATAACGGTTCTTGTAGAGTTGTCTCCAGGTGTTGGAGCCTAAAGATGAAAAACAAAGGAAACAGATATACGTAATGGAATTCCTTCCTCTAAAAACGGTTAAAAAACCGAACCAGCAAAATTTCAGTCTAGCGGAAGTTAGTCATATCCACCTACGTACCAGTTTTATTAAACGTTCATGAATGTATATGCCGTTTTATTGCAACCTTGCTGCTAGCGTAGGTTTAATTTCAAATTTCCCTTTGAAGGTACAGAGCAGTGTGAGCTCACTCGTCCTGACAGAAGGTCACTGTGGTTCCAAGTTCTAACAAATGTCAGTTTGGGTGACAAAGAGTTCTCTGCCCTAATTTGTCCGAAAAAATAATGTCTGTGGACCTTAAGGGCTTCCTGTAAGGTGGTCTGTATGTGCTCAGTGATCCAGGTCCTGCTTTTTCCTCCCATAGTTGCTGTGTGCGATGACATTTCTATTTTTATCTTCTCCCTTGTAATCATATCACCTGTTCTTGTTTTGATCCCATCTTAAAGTATTATTTGCCCTTCACCAACCCATTAGCCATGCATTGCCCTTGACATCGCGTGACTTGTTCAATACCATTATGTGGCTTCGTCATTCGTGTGGATAAGCTGAAGTTGCGGAACCATTTGAGTCCGTCTACAGGTTTGACTAGTAGTACGTGATCATTAAAACACACCGGAGTGGCATTGCAATACCCGAGCGAGTCACTGCTGAGAATACACTGTGTATTGTCAGTTGATATTTCGACCCATATGGTCCGCTGGCATCCGAAACGAATCCACCAGTCGACAATGGTAGGTGCACCGAACATCTGCGCTTATTTATTAAACCAAAAACGGTTTATGCTGAGCCGAAAGTTGCGCTACATCTGACCACTAATACATTTGTTAACCCAATGAAATAAGGTCAGCAGACCAACAAAAGAAAGCTCGATTTATGGTCCATGGTTAATGAAGATTAAGCCGTAGGAGTTTGTAAACCAGGTGAAACTTCAAAAAACGACCAGCTGCCGACTGTGCCAGGTTTGGCACAATTATAACCGCCCAACCTGCACATTCTCTTGCGTACTGCCCAACACTGCTGTCAATAAACACCATCAAATGTTTATGCACGAACGCGCATTGCTTGACTAACAAGATTCCAGAATTATCTGAATTGTGTGAAAAGCATTTGCCAAACTTGGTTGCTATCGGCGAGACTTGGTTCCAGCCACACTTATCGGATAGCGAAATTACCATCCCTGGAATGACGCTTCTTCGTCGGGATCGCATTTCTCGAGGTGGTGTAGCTATTTACCATAGCAGGCAACTATTGTGCAAAGAGATAACTGATGAAGATTTGATGCTATCGGATACCTTATGGTGCTCGATAAAGAAGGTAGCAGGAAACGACTGTGTTGTTGGTGTGATCTATCGACCATCTTCAGCGGAGGAACTGCACCATTACACCATAATGGAAAAGCTGCGCCTCGTGGCTCCCGGGTATAAAAGTAAGATACTAGTTATGGTTGATTTCAATCTCCCAAACTTGCTACGGACTCAACAACAACCGACAAATTCCCTCGATTGTGCATTCCAGGAGACGTTACATGATCTTGACTTTCACAATCATATATCATGCAACACGCGGTATAGAGGATCAGATATACCTTCCATTCTGGATCTCATCATAACAAGCGAAGAGAACGTTGTGGAAAACTTCGCATATGAATGTCCATCAGGATCGAGTGACCACGTCGTTCTCATTTTTGCTTATGTTTGTTCGGCGGTGAGACCTAATGATGAGCTTAAAATGATCAAGAAACTGAACACGAAAGCACTGGCGAATACCCTGAGTCATTGTACGGACTGGTATTCAGAAGGTCCAGACGTCCACCAG